GGTCGGTACGCACGAAGAACACAACGAAAACTTGCCGTGAGGAAATGCAAGATAGCAAGATTCGGGATAGTCTCGTATCCCAGCTGAACGACGGAAATGCAGGCCGCCGAATATCTTAGGTGAAGATCACAAGATACGGATCATGTACCAGTTGATTTGTCCATCGTATTTGAGAATCTCGAGATGGAACCAACATCGGCCGAAGAGTACCGTAAGGAAGGGAATACCAAGTTAAAGGTAAGGTGTGGTATACCCTCTACCCCTTATTGGTGGTGACACAGGCCAAGGACATCCAAGGAGCCATTGATAGCTACACTCATGCTATCGATATGAAGCCTGAGGACCACCTAGCATGGTAAGGGGTCTTTCCATGGCTTCAGTAACATGGTCATTACAGGTCCAACCGATCAGCGGCTTTCTCTGTCGATGGCTCTTATGACAAGGCCTTGGCTGATGGTTTGAAGTGTGTCGAGTTGGCCCCTTTTTGGAGTAAGGGACACCATCGGGTGGGCTCAGCATTGCAGTCTATGGGGAGGTAGGACGGTGTTTATAGGGTTAGAGGGGCACCTTATGGACAGGTACCAAGAGGCTATTGACCATCTCGATGCAGCCATCAAGACTTGTACTGAGGTAATGCTAATAGGAGGAGGAGATGCTTATGGTAGTTGATGGTCATCTTAGGGGGATATTGCCAATCTAAAGGCCTTGAGGGACGCTTGCAAGGGCCTATCAGTTGAGAAGCAGCTCCTTGGGGCATGGAAAGGAACTGTCACAGAACAGCTTGGTGGATACTCTCAAGTAGGATAGTGTACGACTTATGTTCTATCGTTGGTCTGCTGTCAGGTTATGCAGTTTGAGGAAGGGCATAAGATGCATGTGATGGTCATGGGCCAATCTCAAGAGGCCAGCTATATGGTGGATGCTGCTAGGGACCCCGCTCTTCTCAACATCCATCTTGCCATCGATGGTGACCAAGGACCTAATGTGCCGTAATACTGAGGGCGAAAGGGCTTTATAAACTCAGTAGTCGTAGTAGATGTTCCTGTAAGATTTGGTCGTCCGTAGTATGGAGGTATTGATGGTGTCGGGAGCGGGTATTGAACCTGCGACCTGCGGATTATTGGCATGCCCATGCATCATGCTAAGCTGTTCTGTAGATATATCATCCGCTTTACTGATGAAACTACGCTCGAGATGTGCTGTCCTTATCTTACTCCCGAGATTCCGACCAAGTTTGAAGGGCCGGGTCTGGTGACCATGAAGAAGGTAGGCGCTATTCTAGGCCCTCTACCATCATCTCGTGCCTTTCAAGTTACCCGATGGTGAGAAGGTTGATGTCGATGAAGGCAAGTGGGTGGACTC